CTCTTTCGTGTCTTCTACAATTCCAGGTTTTCTCGAGGAAAGGAAATTGTTTATCATTGAAATATCGAGCTCGATAAAAAAAAAAAAAGACCTGATTTCAGTGATCGATCAGTTTACGAATAATTTCAATCAAACTTCAATTAAATTAAACGTCGCTGTTCCACCGGATGGCAAATTGTGACGTCTAATCAAAAAAAGTTATCCTCCGACGAAATTCCGCCCGTCCCGGCAATTGTAAATTCACTTCTAATTCTTCCGCCGGATGTCTAGTTTACGTCTGATCTGGAATTTGCGCGGAAATTCTACTATAATAATAATACATGCAAATCCCCTAAGCAGCGAGTTGTACACTGTAACGTTTCGTAATGCCGGGGGAAACGTGGCTTTCCGGACGATTTTCTACTATTCACATCCTACGGCGTGCCGCCGCCTCCTAGCTTCTATTATTCTATTCAGCCTCAGTTGCATATTACAGATCATTTATATGCATATATGGAGCCGTAAAAGACGCCAATGGCGGCGCGTTCGCTCGCAACCAGCTTCTACACCACCAAAAGCCGGCCACTGTCATTCTCGTTTTCATTATAACCCGTTTTCTTACCGAAACCAGCCTCGCTCCACGAGGTATCCCATATCCATTGCAAAGTCTGGCTACTATCCAAGCGAAACGCTGACGGCTAACGACTTAAGGCGAAGATACTGCGCAGAGGACCTAACGACCAAGTTCACTTCCACTATGTAACGAGTCAGAAATTTGAGCCACCGCCTGATCTGAAATCACGTGATCACAAAGGTTAACTGAAAACCTAGGAATTTGATTACAGCACGTGATTCTTCTTCACTTCGAAGAATCTTTTTGTTTCTTCGACGTTTAATATCTCCTTAACTTCTTGCGCTGGAATAACCTGCCTCATGCGTCGAGAATGTTTTGTCCCAAAATTTGCAATATTTTCTCAATTTTAAATGTATTTAAATATAAAAGGAAATTATTAAGAAATAATGAATCTATTCAGATAATAAATTTATTACTTCTTAATAATTTCTATCCAGTGATATTATACCGACGAACTAAAAAAGAAAACGAATTATTATATATACGATTTGGTCACTCGTTATGGTCCGTGAACCAGTTGCCAGCTCAAGAGGTTAACCTTTTGACGTCGAGAATGTTTTGTCCCAAAATTGTCAATATTTTTTCAATTTTAAATGTATTTAAATATAAAAGGAAATTATTAAGAAATAATGAATCTATTCAGATAATAAATTTATTACTTTTTAATAATTTCTATCCAGTAATATTATACTGACGAACTAAAAAAGAAAGCGACGAATTATTGTATATATGATTTGGTCACTCGTTACGGTCCGCGAACCAGTTGCCAGTGCAAGAGGTTAATTTCTTGCACTGGAATGACGCACGTCGAGAATTTTTTCTCCCAAAATTGCAATATTGTCTCAGTTTTAAATATATTTAAATATAATCCAGGCAGAACAAATAATAAAATTATTACTTCTTAGTAATAATTTCTATTCAGTGATATCATACCGACGAACTTAAAACGAAAGCGACGAATTATTGTACACTGTATATTGAAATATTGTTTGGTCACTCGTTATGGTCCGTGAACCAATTGTCAGCTCAAGAGGTTAACCTTTTGACGTCGAGAATGTTTTGTTCCAAAATTGTCAATATTTTTTCAATTTTAAATGTATTTAAATATAAAAGGAAATTATTAAGAAATAATGAATTTATTCAGATAATAAATTTATTACTGCTTAATAATTTCTATCCAGTGACATTATATCGACGAACTAAAAAAGAAAGCGACGAATTATTGTATATACGATTTGGTCACTCGTTACGGTCCGCGAACCAGTTGCCAGTGCAAGAGGTTAATTTCTTGCACTGGAATGACGCACGTCGAGAATTTTTTCTCCCAAAATTGCAATATTGTCTCAGTTTTAAATATATTTAAATATAATCCAGGCAGAACAAATAATAAAATTATTACTTCTTAGTAATAATTTCTATTCAGTGATATTATACTGACGAACTTAAAACGAAAGCGACGAATTATTGTTTGGTCACTCGTTATGGTCCGTGAACCAGTTGCCAGAGCAAGAGGTTAACCTTTTGACGTCGAGAATGTTTTGTTCCAAAATTGTCAATATTTTTTCAATTTTAAATGTATTTAAATATAAAAGGAAATTATTAAGAAATAATGAATTTATTCAGATAATAAATTTATTACTGCTTAATAATTTCTATCCAGTGACATTATATCGACGAACTAAAAAAGAAAGCGACGAATTATTGTATATACGATTTGGTCACTCGTTACGGTCCGCGAACTAGTTGCCAGTGCAAGAGGTTAATCTCTTGCGTTGGAATGACGTACGTCGAGAACTTTTTGTCCCAAAATTGCTATATTTACTTAGTTTCAAGTATATTTAAATATAACCCAGGCAAAATAAATAATAAATTTATTATTTCTTCTTAGTGATAATTTCTATCCAGTGATATCATACCGACGAATTTAAAAAGAAAGCAACGAATTATTGTACACTGTATATTGAAATATTGTTTGGTCACTCGTTATGGTCCGTGAATCAGTTGCCAGCGCAAGAGGTTAACCTGCTACGCACGTCGAGAATTTTTCATCCCAAAATTGCTATATTTTCTCAGTTTTAAATGTATTCAAATATTAAAGACAAAACAAATAATAAATTTATTACTTCTTAGTAATAATTTAAAAAGAAAGCGACGAATTATTGTATATACGATTTAGTCACTCGTTATGGTCCGCGAATTAGTTGCCAGCGCAAGGGGTTAACATCGAAATTGAAACGTTTTCGTATATTTTTTTGTTTTCTTTGTAAAACTGTTGCTCGAGGAACCGTTTAATTACGTTGGCGAGAAACCTTTCGTTTCGCATGGATTCGAACGACAGCAGCGAGCAGAGATTCTGTAGATTAAAGTGTCCAACGGTTAACTTTGACAGACTGTGCTGAGAGTTACATCGGATTGAGTAAAAAGTAATTTCAAGTATTTTAGTGCAAAAGTGAAGCAAGTTTTTCTCATATTTTAAATGAGGTTCAAGACACGTTCACGTTATTCAATAAATTAATGGCGTAAAAGTTGACTTCGAATTAGGCCTGTGAAAAATCAAATGTCCCAGAAATCACAGAACTTCTACAGCAATGATTGATCATGGTTTCACCTCGAGAATAGCTAAAGATGGTCGAACAAAACGGCACGTATCTCGTTCAACGGACTTCGTTTAAATTATGAAAGTACGAGAAACTTGCTTCACTTTTGTTCACTGAAATACAAAATTCACTCAATCTGTAATATAATTCACAGCACAGGTCTGTTAAAGTTACCCGTTGGACACTTCGCAATCTACAGACTCTCCACTCCACTCTGTTGTCGTTTTGGCAAAACTATGTGAACGTTACATCGTCGGCCAGACAACTAGCGCCACGATTCTCACACATCCGTTGTAAAATCCGACTACTATCCAATATCCAAAGTGAAACATTGCTGCTAACGACCGTAGAAACATTACAGAGAGACACTGTCATTAAATCTAACGAGCGGGGAACGGCTACGCTCGTGCTTGGTGCGCGTAATAGTTCAAAATTCGTGCAATCATCCCCGCGATCGCGTGTTGCCCCGGTTGTTTCGCTTTCCTGTCGCGTAAGCGCGAAATCGGTTCTCCCGTTGGTCTCTCTCTCTCTCTCTCTCTATCTCTTTCGATGTAATTAGTCTTTTGCGCCAGTGTGAAAAATAGAATTAATCGCGAATTAATCGCGAATGTTAAACGGACGATAAACGATGGTATTTGGCTCGAAAGGAGGGGAGAGGTCGGCGAAGCCAACGTTGCAGTATGGTTAACGATATAACAGTCGAGCAACTTTATAATGGGATGCAGAAAGCTATAGCGCAGCGTCGTTGGGTGGGCCACCTACAGCTCGAGGCTACCACAACCAACAAATGAGACTCGTCGTGGTGATGCAAGTATTTTCCGATAGTTTGTCCGTTGTGTGTACCGTACGATGGGACGAAGGAGAGGACGGAACGGTGGTAATCGAGGATCGCAACGAAACAAGGGCGGGAAAATCAGGGAAAGGAAGTAGGGTGAGAATTGATACTGTTCTTTATCGACCTACGTGG